AATTTTAAGTCGAGTTAGCGATGTCTCTCTCTCTCTCTCTCTCTCTCTGTCCGTCTGTCTGTTGTAATCACGTTATCTTTCGAACGAATTGAGATAGAAGGCTAAAATTTTGCACACATGTTTATTTTGCCAGTAGGCAGGCTAAGTTCGTGAATGGGTCATGTAGGTCTACATTTTCATATAGCCCCCATATAACGGTACTTCCCGATCTTCGGTATTTTGATGATTTTAGCGACATTATTTTCCGGAATTGTTTCAAATTTGGCATTTAAAGTTCGTAATGAATATTACAGCTTATGACAGAAAATTGTCTATGCAGGTCCACGTATAGCCCCCCTATAACGGTACCTCCGGATATTCGGTATTTTAATGATTCTAGCGTCATTATTTACCGGAGTAGTTTCAAATTACGTATTCAGAGTTTGTAATGGGAACTACAGTCTGTGACACAACATTTTATATGCAGGTTCAGGTATTCGTATAGGCCCCATATATCAGTACCACCCTATATTCGGTATTTTGACGATTTTAGGAACAATATTCATCGAAATTTTTTGAGATGTCGTATTTGAAGTTCGTAATGGATGCTACAGCCTGTGACAGAAAATTGTTTATGCAGGTCCAGGTCTTCGGTACCTCCTTATATACGATATTTTGAAGATGCTACATTATACCCGTTTATAATATGGTAATGGCTTATAACAAACAATGCCTATGCAGTTCCACGTCGTATATAGCGCGACACGACATGAATAGCGACACTAATGCCAAATTTCTGATTTCAAGCACTATATATTTACCCAATGCTAAATTGTACCAAATATAATACTATTTTGTACTTTTGCGTGCACTTGTACCACCAATAGGCATTTCAATACAAAATTTCAAAATTCCAGCTTCATTCGTTCACCTTTAACCAAATTGTACCAATTTTCGTATCGTTTAGTATACTTAAATACAATATTCCAAAACTACATACATCATAAAGTCCAATGAAATCTTATTTCCAATTTTCAAGATTCCATCTCTTTCGGCCTACTCAAAATTTAAATTGTACCAAATTTAATACCATTTAGTACACAAGAGTATGAATTTCCAAAACTGCCTACATATATCAGTTCTACTAAGCAATAGTGATTTAATTTCCAAATTTCAGGATTCTAACTCGAATGGTTGTCCCAAAATTTAAATTGTGCTAAATTTAATACCATCTTTAATGCCATCTTACTTATTTGTACTAATAAGTATGAATTTCCAAAAATAGCTATATTCCTCAGTCTGAGAATGTAATAGTAATCTTATTTCTCAATTTCAAAATTTCAGCTCTATCGCACCCAAATCGAAATTGTACCAAATTTAGTATAATTTGGTACTTTTTTTTGCACATAAGTACACAATTTGAAAACTTTCTTCATATCCCAATACTACACTCCGCGAATAATGTTAATTTCAAAATTCAGAATTGTACTCAATTTAGTAGCGTTTAGTACTTTTCATGTACATAAGCACGCACTCCCAAAATTACCTCCTTACACCTTGATTCCCATTCCGAATTTCGAGTTTTTGGCTCTGAGCGTCCACATTATAAGAAATAAAACCAAATGTAGTACATTTCTGTACTTTTCCTACACTTATAGTGCGGATTTCCGATAACCCTTTAGTACATCGATCATACCCTCCATTAATGATTCTCATTCCAAATTTAAGTTCGTCAAATACAAAGGATATCATATTTAGTACCTTTTAGTAATTTTCGTACCTTTCTTGTACGAATTAAAAAAAAAAAAACCAGCCTTATCTGGCCTCTTCGGACCAAGTCTGACCCTCTCCCAAAATTTCAAGATTCTAGATTCAGCCGTTTCGTCTGGGCATTGATGGATCTTTAAGTCTGTCAATTATTTTACTCTTTTATTAATATAGATTTAGATAAAAGACATGCTTTAAATGTTACATGTACATCATGAAAACATCAAATTTTATTATGTCTTTCTTCGTTTGTTGAATCCGGGCCTCGAACACAAAACTTTCGGTTTTATAGTAGGATGCGTAACCTCTTTGCCGATATTACACATTATTTAGTAATGAAGAAAATACTTCACTTTGCTTTGTATTTTTATAGAAATACTAGTTGGCCCGGTCCGCGTTGCCGGCCCGTAATTTTAGTCTTTAATGCTATTATATCATCCACCTTGGAAAGGAGGGTATATTAACTTTTAATTCCATTTGTAACATCACTAAATGTTCGTCATAGACCCCATTAAATATGCATATATATTCATAATCAGTATAAAACTCTAAGTCGATTTGTCCGTCTGTATGTCTGTTTGTTTAAATTACGATACAGCCCACATTATTTGACGTATAGCGTCAAAATTTAGCTGAAAAATTTGTAATGTGTATAGGATGGTTGGTATTGAAAATGATCTATCGGTTCACGTTTTGGTATTGTCCCCATATAACGGTATCTGTCGAAATTCGGTATTTTGATGATTTTTGCCACATTTCTCCTCGGATTTGTCTAACACATATAACGATACCTACCTATTTTGGGTATGTTGATAATCCACACATTTACGCGTATAATTGTTTTAAATTTGGTATTTTAGAAGGTGACAATCCTTGAAGTATAAAATTGTCCACAGAGGTTCCCGTTTTGGAATGGCCCCATATAACGACCTCATTCACTTTATGGTTTTTTGATAAGTTAACTGCATTATCCAAACAGTCTTACTGGGATATGAAGTTTAAAGTGAAACACGCTTGAATTTAGATACTTTTATATAAAAAATGTTTCCTTTACCCTCAGATGGATGATAGTAATAATTCTGCCGGGCGAACTTAATTTTTTTACTTGTTTTTAAAGTAATATGAATTATTTGTCATTGAAATTGCGCGTTGGAGACCCCATAATTTCCATATCTTTTATCAAGGTATAATTCAAAGACGATTAAACAAATGTACGGTTCCTTAAATCATATGATGGTTATACAAAACTCGATCAGTTTTTGCATGGATGGTTTCTTCCCAAATTACCAACATTTGCCGAAATTAGTATGAAAATATGTTTAAAATGTAAGATATACTTTAAATCGGGTTGTATCCTTATCCGGGGGTTATGACCCATATCATGAACTGCAAAAGTGATTTAAGGTATCGTGAAAGTTTAGGAAGATGTAGATTCTGGAGTTGAAAGCTAAATGCCAGTTTCAGACATGAAAGATCGCCATTTAACATCTTATTGCGTACTATTTCATTTTTGATATTATTCATTCAGAATTCAAAAAAATAAAAAATTTAGTCTTCTATATATTTTTAAATTGAAAAAATTTCACGCCAAAAGGATTTCTTTTTTTATATTTTTATTGGCAACTTTTACGTAATTTTTTTTGCAAGATTCCATTCCGAAGTTGTATGAATTGTGAAAATCCGTCAAAACGTTCTTGAGTTATAAGCATAGTAACTAATAAACAAATTGAAAAAATCTTCAACTTGTTCGCTGTTTTTTTACAGCCAATATTTAAAGGTCCTTACGAAGTTTGGTCCTTACTATTATTCTGAAATTTGATTCCATTGAAAAAATGTTCTCAGTATTTCCCTATTTTAGAGTTTTTGCAGTGCAATATGCTCTTTTTTGGTTTTTTAGCAATTTTGGTTTGACCACGTTTAATTATTTTGACATCATCTATTCAGTTCCGCCACTCCATAATTTTCGTCGCTTTGTACTACCCAAAAAGACTACAATTCATATTAGAATTCAAAAAAAAAAAAAAAAAAAAAAAAAAAAAACACTACAAATGTACATTCCGAAATAGTAAGTCTAAATGGAAAAAAAATCATGCAAAATACAACATTACTATTGTACATTTCAAAAGTCAAAATGAAAATTTTAAAATTTCACATTTTTACGCGATGTTTTTGGATGTTATCCTTTTCTGCCAAGAGACAATACCGAATTTGTGTAAATCGTTAAAATCAGATCAGCGGTTCTTGAGTTATAAGCGTAGTAACTAACACAACTTCCTTATATATATAGACAGATTAGAAGAATGCGAGGTAAGTTCCCTGGCGCCCAAATAAATTCCTAAGTTTGGAGGGAAAGTCAACAGTATCTCGTGTAATAATTTTCAAACCGATATCTTCATTATCTGGTAAATATAAAGATTTTAGATAAATCAAGATTGTGGGCGTAAAAGTAGGCGTGGTCAATATTTTTTTCTTTAAAAACCTAACTCGGGGTATGACGAACGTTTGTACAAAAAATTATGCAAATCGGTCCAGTCGTTTTCAACTGATTCCGTTACCAACAAACAACAATTGATTTTTATATATATAGATAGAAGATTATTATTTTAATTCTGAAGGTAATTTGATTACATTACCTTTTATTGGATTATTAGGTTTGAACAACTTTCAAGTTTTTGCTGGAATGTAACTACTAGGCCCGAATCATAGGTAATTTATCATATTTCCCCAAATGTTCTGCCTTTTCAAATTTAAATTGCCTTCAAAGATATACTCCTTTTTATAGTCATAAATTATTTATTGTTTGATTGGTCAGACATTACAACTTAATGTGATTTGACTTAAAACGCATATTCCTTTATGTGGTGGGATTGAAATACTTTGCTTGTGTGCGGCGGCTTGAATGGTATTCCATTTAAGATCCTCTTCAAAACAACAAATCGGTTAACAACAAAAAACAAAACAAAAACACGTTTGTTCACATTATACATTGTTTGTTTTCAATTAAACAATAATTAATTAATTTTACCTATATTAGTGTCGGATTTTATTCCCCGTGTGTATGTGGGTTACTTTAACTGTTGTCGATTAGACCAGTCTGTCAGTCAGCAAGCCAGTTAGTATGTCTGTATGTTATTGCCACGGCATGCCTTGAATATTAAAATATTTTACACTGCTGTTAATGATGTTGTCTGATAAATTTCTTCTCTATTTATTTATGTTTTTTATTAATTTTCTCTCTTTTTACTTTTTTTTAGTAACCGCTATTGTCGTATACGATTACACCGCCAAGGAGCCGGATGAACTTGATCTAGTAAAAGATGCAATTATACACAGTATTAAACAAATGCCTGGCGGCTGGTGGGAGGGCACTCTACAGTCATCTGGCCAAACAGGAATGTTTCCCGATAATTTTGTGCGTGTCGTCGACATGAACGAGGATAATACTGTCGTCTTGAGGTGAGTAAAAGGAAGGTGTAATAATAATTGAAACAAACAAATTTTAAAATTATTATAAACCAAACTGTGTAGAAAATCACCAATTTGAGGTATATCAAAAACGTCATATAATGTGAGATAAAGGCTTAAGCAAGAACGGACTTTTGATGTAGAAGTTATTTGCCAAAATTGTTTCAATACAGGTGACCAAAGCCTATAGTCAGGCGGTCCGATCTTGTGTTACACTACATTAACATTTTGACTAAAATGAAGTAATCCCTCAAGGTATTTGTATACATAATTGGACCACTTAAAAAATCCTTTGAAATATCACCTGCTGCGGAAGGTCAGTTTATGGCAACCTAGGTAGAAATTCTTAGAATTAGGCGCTTTAATATAAATAAAGCCAAATATACCCAATGAGGAATGACAATTTTTACGAAAAAAATTCAAAAAAAAAAAAATTAACTAGAAGTAGTAGTCATATTTTCAACACAATAGGCCTGAAACATTACTTTAAATGACAACACCTGGGGTCATAGAACTGGCTAACCTGTCTTATTTTCGGGTATGAAGTATGGGACCGATCCTAGGTAATTGGAGCATAGTCAAACAAACTGTCGCTTGCAACAGTATGGGAATCGCTGGAGAGGTTCGTGCCGCTTCTGAGGTCAGAATTCCAGCAGCAACACTGATTCTGTAAACAAACCGCCTAATATGTCACTCTCTCGAGTGTTGACACAAAAAGTCAATATTTTGAAGAATTGCGACTCCCAAATATATGAAATTTGTTTGAAAATGAGCCATATCGGCTCACTTCCTTCGTTACATACTCAAAAAATTTTGGAAATTAAAAAATCAATATAGTAAGTAAGAATCTCATGTAGTGAAACTTCGTAAATCGAAATATATTTTCACGCTAAAGTCAGCTGGGTATATGGAAAATATAGGTACACTACTTTTGGTATCTTTCAGACAAACGATCAACATTTTGATCAAACTTAGACCAAATTTTACTCATTGCAATATATGCAGACTAAGGTCAAATCACATGTTGAGGAGAAAATTTCGAAATACTATTTATTTCAAAGGCCTATTGCAAACAAGTTTACAACTGCGACGAAAGTAATCAAAACCCGAATGTGAGGGCCATGCCAGAATATATGGTATTACAATTCAATCTAATTCATTGAAAAATATGGGTAAAATCATCAGCAAATAACGGGAATTGGTAACATTATATAGGGGCTAAGCGAAAACGTGAATCTGTATGGATAATTTTCTCCTAGAGAAAGTAATACCCATTGCCTACTTCACATACCACATTTGTTGCTAAACTTAACAAAATGTGGAATATCTGGAGGTACTGTAATATAGGGTCTATGCCATAATTTGGTTATATACTAACAGTTCATTGAATGCCCACTAGCAATACAAATTACTAATTTAAACCTAAAAAATATTTTAGAGATAAATTTTTAAAGCCATTATTTACTGGGTACACAATAATCTTTGAGCCGGGGTTTCGTATTACACCTCTACTAACGTTTGTGCAGATTATCAGTTTCAATACCCCTAAATCTCTGTGCAGTATATAAACCAAGTTGATTATATCGTTTACGAGATATCACCTTTTTAATGTAGAGTCTTCTTTTTTAAATAAACATTATAAACATAAATGTGCAAAATCTACTTTTTTGTGATATGTCGCTATTTGAGCAAACAAGCCATTAAAACAAATAAAATTGTACCCATCTACTTTATATCGTATGGAATCAATAGGGATTTCAATATGTAAACCAGAAGAAAATCACGAAATCGATGTAGAATTTTATGCTGAGATGAAAAAACTGCAACCAATTCCATACTCCTGTCATTTCTAAGTCACTCGTCCGATAGTTGTTAAAATTATTCCAGTGACAGCTTATTATATTGTTTACAAGCGTACAAAGGCATTTTGGTGTGAATTTTCCAGAAAAAAGTTATTTGCGATGGAATTCAAGCGTGATAGTGCGATTTCTTTATATTTGGCTAGAAAACCACAACTGGATATCGTTAGAGCACTCCAGCATTTAAATGTGAATAAATATTTTGTGTCTCGATGTCTATGAAGTGAACGGAAGAAAACAGCAACATCATTAGAAATGGTTCGAAAAGTAAAGAAGCGACTTAATTGAAACCCTCAGAAAATGGCTCATGAGCTGAATTCCAAATTCCAAAAAGTTCAAGAACTTACACCGCAACAGAAAGAAAATACACTCAAAAGAGCTAAGGAATTTGGTTTTCTTCGATGAGAAAACATTCGCTGTCCAGCTGTTTGTAAACAAACAAAATGATCGTGTTTACTTGCCAAAGAGGTCAACTGCCGGCCATGGTAATGGTGTGGGCCGCCAAAACAGCCAATGGTCGCTCTCCGCTCGTATTATTCGACCGTGGCATCAGAATAAATGTCGAATATTATCGCGAAAATATTCTGGAGGATGTATTAAAGCATTGGGCACGCAAACATTATGGCCGCAGACCTTGGACATTCCAACAGGACTCAGCACCATCGCACTCTGCACCCGCCACCTAAGAATGGTTACAAAATGTGGTTCCTCACTTCATTTCCAGCGCATAATGACCACCAAAATCTCCGGATACCAATCCGTTGGACTATTGTGTCTGGAGTATTTTGAAAAGCAAGGTTGGCACTAAAAGAGGTGACCAATTCTAAAAAATCTAAACTTATTCTAAAATTGGATGCTATTTCCGACATTTCTAGCATTCATTCAATAAAATTAAAAAAATAATAAATAAAAATTATGGCGTTTGACTTTGTTGCTGTTTTTATCTCACCCTGTAACTTGTGTGATCTAAAATGATTATTTTAAGAAGCTAAAAACGAATGACGAACTGGGAGTTTCGTTTGTAAATTAAAATCTAACACTGCGAAAGAATTCTGCCCCGATAGTTGTTACAGAATCACCCTCATGACGTCAGTGCGGCGGCACATACTTTATGATTTTAACCGTTACAGTCACCAAGTCGCAGAACTGTAACAAAAAGTTTCAAAATGTATTCGCAAAATTTTGAACGTTTCTGGAGTTGATAAAAATATTAGCACGTACCTATTTTGGATTAAATCGGATACTTTCCGTGAAAGTTACACTGCGAACCAGTCACAGCTATGTCGACTTCAAATGTCCCAAAAAACGGACGTTAAGCCCAAGCAGATGTTAAGTTCAAACAGACTTATGGTCGTATCAAATGATATATACTCTCTGTACTCATAAGGCTCAAGGTACAAAAAGAAAAAAACACATACCTACAACACAACGTATATTCATATATTTCAACAGATTTTTACATTTTTACTGTCACTCATTTATATCCTTATAAACTAATTGCCTGTTGTTTATTTTTTCTTTCTTGCTTTCTTTTCAGAGACAAAACATCGACCAGTAATCGGCGCTGTAAAGTTATCTACAGCTATACGAAAGTCAATGACGACGAGCTGTCACTGGCTGTGGGTGATGTCATTGAATTCCTTGGGGAGGTTAGTAAACAAAACAAAAAATAGAACAACTTGAATAAAACAGGAATCGTTAAAACACACCCTCAACGGAAACCAAACAGCAACAACAACGTACGAACAAGGACATAAAACAGCTGTAGCTGCTCAAACTTTAGTAACAACTAAAGCAATTCCTTTCGGTTCGTTGGCTGGCGTTGGTTGCCTGGTTAGGTTAGTTGCATTTCCTTCTTGAGGGGTTGTGTGTCTTTTGACTGTTGCTGTGGCCTCAATTGAATCTTTTTTCATTATATTTTAATTGGCTCCTTCTTCGTTTTCTACAACTATTTAGGTCGAAGAAGGCTGGTGGCGTGGACGTCTTTATAATCGAGTTGGCGTTTTTCCTTCAAATTTCGTTAAAGTCATAGAACCATCACCGGTGTTTGCCAGCAAACGGCCACCATCTTTGGCGAAAACAACAACAACAGCAGGCGCTGGCAGTGGGACTGTGCTGGGCTCCACATCAATATTGAACACACAAACCGCAGCATCTAACGTGGCGTCGGCTGCAACATCCACCTCCACCTCGACAACGAAGAAATTGAACCGCCTTAGTTTTCATAATTCCAAAGAGGATCTACTCAATTCAGACACCACAATTGCGGCCAACTCTACAACACTGACGGCTGCTGCAGATGATGTGGCTCCGAGTTTACCACCGAAACCCCAAAGAGAGTATTGTCGTGTGGAATTTCCCTATGCGCCACAAAATGATGACGAATTGGAGCTAAAAGTGGGCGACATCATTACCATTCACAGTATGGAGTTGCCCGATAAGGGCTGGTGGAAAGGTGAACTGAGAGGCAAAGTTGGTGTATTCCCCGATAATTTTGTTAAGCTTATAGCACCGACCGAAGGTGAGTCACCAATTGCACTAAAATCACTTCAATTCTTATGTATGACTATTTTTTGTTTTGTTTTTTTTTATTTATATTTAGTTGAGCTTTATCAAGAAAGAAAAAAATTTTTTGTTTTTATCCTAAGTTTGTTTGTGTTATTTTAGTTTTCTTATCAATATTTTGGTTTGAATCATTCCATAACTAGTGAATATTTGCTATAACAAGTGCGAAGCTCTGGGTGCATACACACAATCGGTCATTGTAATACGAACCAAGCAATTTATGGCTATGGACGGACGGCCAATAACAAGGCTTGCATTTCAGTTCACATCAGTCGAGCTTTGTTTGCAGCACGTGGTGTGTAAATTAACAGTTGTATGTCACTTTAGTGGGTCGTTGGGGGAGGAGGTATTATATTTTTAGAGGAGGTCTATATAAATACACCCATATATGAATTTATTTGTGCCACTGAAAAGTGGACTATACTTGAGTATCAAATTCACAAGACCTTATTAGAAATTCAATGGAAACATATTGCCGCCGTCAACTTATAAACATTGCCATGATGCAATATTATGTGGGGTGGTGAGATTGACTATTATTATTGCTACAACTATTCGTATGTAGTGTTATTTTCTCAAGGTATGATATTTTTTAAAGTACTTTTTGTTATTCAAATGGATAAATTTTAAATTTGTAAATAAATTCCCGATTTTGTATGGCATGATTACAAGTTTATTGCGCAATCTCCTATACTTTTTGGTATTAAATATTCACCTAAGGTCCCATAAAGTGTACATTTTTTTAGGTTGATGGATCCAGTTCCACCCGTGGACGATATTTCTCCCAATAGAGCTCGCAATACTTGGGTGGTATTTTCTTATAACTATGATATGCTATTTGGTTTAGTGCTTAATTCGACTCAAACTTCCAGAAGTTGTCATCCTAAAAAACACATTTACGGTTAGTTTATTTCCTAAGACGCCATATTGGTGTAAATGCTTCTATTCTTCCTTAACCGCCTTTCGTTGTTGCTTAATCAAAGGTCTATCCTGCAACCACTGAATATTAGCATATCCCCCTGCTAATCGGTGGATTTGATTTTATTATCATATCTGAGAAGGTTTCGAATTCCCTGGCAGTGACTGAGTTCACTTTTCCTGTCAGTGACTGAGTTGAGGGGAACTTTGTTTTATTTATTGTTATAGCAATTCATTCATTTTTCAAAAATCTTCTAATTAAGTTCTACTTCTACATTCAGATTTAAAAAGTCTGCGGATTATACATAGTGTAACCAAAGCCCTTCTGGAGTGAATTTGGATGTTTTGTGTGTGTGAGTCTGTGTCATCGTGTGGGGTATCAATTTGCGATCGATGTGCATCTAGACGAATGCTTTAGTCAGAACCTAACTGGACCTTGGTGTGTCTAGGCAGCCTACGTTCTTGTCTGTAATGGGTGGGGATAGACTCTGAGAACGGCATTCATAAGATGATTGACAGATCGTATAGGTCTATCCTGACACGCTTAAATCGCAAAGGTCCTTCCTTATTCCATTGGGTGAAAGTGTTCTATCCACCATATGACTCCCACTGTAACACTCAAACAGTATTGAAATGAAAGATTTGATTATACTGACGTATGGGAAGTATAATCGTCTCCTCATCTGGTGTTATGAGGAGGCACCCTCATGTTCATGTTAACTACGTTTCCACTATTAATTGCAGAGCAACATAGCTAAGTACAGACCGCAACCTATCGCATTATAAAATGTAGAAAAAGGGCTACTTCTCCAAGCTGCCAGCTACCTCCATGAATACCGCATGTTTTTGGTTGGGATTAGGCGTCCTTTGATCTGCACGATCAAATGCATTTTCATCTCGACAGTGTATATACTAAAGAGTGTAGCCGGTGATATAGTGGCGGATATTTTCATAATCCTCGGTTAGAAGAAGACAGCAACTTTTGTATCCACATGTTATTGACCTCGATGCCGTTTGGAGAACGCGGAATTTCGGAAAGGTAGAGTTTAAACAGATCCGAAGATTTCAACACACCTTTGGGAACTCTGTGTTTCCTGTTGCAACTCGGAGTGCATTGTTCTGTCACGATTGTAAATGTCTCCACTGAGATTCGGAGGGATATTTTTTCCTAATCGTGCTCGATGTCAATACGCAAACTGGGTCTAGTGGCCAGATTAGTTTAGCCTTCTGTGTAAGCCACAGTATATGTGGCGTTCAGCATGATTTATGCATTTTCCATTCAGGAATAATTTACTTTTTAGGAATTCAATATTTCTTATATGCCATTAATTCGGATTTGTCACAAGACATTATGTATGCTCCGTACAAAATCGCAAAAATAATTTAAAATATCATTTGTCGTTTTCGCTCCACAGGAAGCTACAATGTTGTCTAATCTCAAACAACAACAGCAACAACAACAATAATACATATCAATTATGGCTGATATAATCATAATTTCTGCTCAATTGATGTCAACGATTCATATTTTCTTAAGTGAAAGTTTTAGCTAAGCTCCTGCTTTTTTGCTCGGTTTCAAAAATTGTATCCAGCATAGTTTGTTAATTGTAAACAGTGGAAGCCATTGCGACAATCACATGTTTCCTATATATAACATCGGGCTGTTTCTATGAGGTTCCACTGTTTCCTCTGTCATATCAATAATCGTTTATATTTCCATTAAATTCCATAATATAGTTTTTTTTTTCTTATACGAAGAAAGTCAACCGCCATTAAAGCATTATAGCTATGCCTCCTCATATTGCCAGGTAGTAGATAACAGCGCATTTAGATGGCTTTGGTCTGCCACAACCATCATTTGCCAATAATCATAAACTAGAAAAACAAATATCGCCGAACTGTTCGACTGACCGACCGTCTAATACAACAACGAAATAGTGACAGTTTCCATCACCACCACCATCGGCACCAATTTGCCGCTGAAAAATATTTAATAACCTCCAATGTGACTGGCATGGGAGGAATGAACGAACAAACCAGCACGGTTGTGATTGTTGGCGTCTCCGATGATTTTTAATTTATTGATCGATATGTTGCAACTAATGATAATAATAATTGAGAAATTGTGGTAGTTTAGCCAACTTTTATAAAATGTAAACGACATGAAAGTCACAAACCAATCTGAGATATATCTGACATTGTCAACATTTTTGGAAGCTTTGTCAATTTCTTCATAGATCGAATGATTGGAATAATCTTCGAGTAAGGTTAAATTCAATGTTGGATCAATTAGTTTCAACACCAATGTGTTGTGTTACGAGATGCTTCAAACACAGTTAGGTTATTTTGAATACAGGGTGAAATAAAACAACTGCAACAAAGTCAAACGCCATAATTTATACATTATTTTGTAATATCTTATTGAAAAAAGGTAAAAAATGTCGAAAATAGTATTGAACCCCGAGCTTAATTTTCAATATTTGCCGAATGGAATTTTGCGATATGTTCAGCTCACGAGTCATTTTCTTCCACTGCGACGCGGGTTTCGATCAAGTCGCTCCTTTACTTTTCGAACCATTTCTGTTGCTGTATTATTCTTCCGTCCACTTCCTTGACGTCTGGCTACGCTACCAGTATCACGGTAACGTACGATGGTACGAGACACAAAAGATTTATTCACATTTAAATGCTGGAGTGCTCTAACGATAGCCACTTGTGGTTTTCCAGCCAAATACAAAGAAATCACACTATCACGCTTGAATTCCATCACGAATAACATTTTTTCTGGGAAATTCTCACCATAATGCTGCAAAATGCTTGGGGTATACGTAGACGTGAATTTGTGTGGGCAATTTTTCCATAGAAAGCAGTACCCACTGTGAACTGCAAATTTCGAATTTGAAATAGTAAAAAGTGTGTCTAAAATCGTCAAAGTGACGAATATAGGGAGGTACAGTTATATGGGAGCTATACGAACATGTGGACTTGTATAGGCAATATACTGCCATGGAAGGTAAACATAAAAATACCGAACAAGACATCAAAGTACCGAATATCTGGAGGTACAGTTATATGAGGTCTATACGAAATTGTATACCCCTGCAGCAAATTATCTGCCAGAAAAGGTGGTACATATCAACAACTCCAAATACCAAGTTTGAGGTAATTCTCTTGAAAAATGTAGCTAAGTCCTAAAATAACGAATATTTGGATGTGCAGTTTTTTGGGGATGGTACCAAAACTGTGACCTATATGCAAGCATATTGCCTATATGTTGGGAAATACTGCCATTTTACAACAAATTCGGGTTAAAATTGTGTCTAAAACAACCAAAACAACTTAATTGTGGCCGTTCACTTATATGGTGGCTATACCAAAACGTGGATCTACATATCCTATTTTGATACCAAAAGTCTTGTCGAATTAAAAAAATCTCAAAAAAATTTGATCAACCGACTTAATTTCGTAGGAAGCTAGGGTGATTTCCACAGAAGGATAGACGAACGGTCGTCGCTTAATCAAGTTTATGCTGATCAAGAATATATATTTGGAAGTGTTAAAAACGGAATGGTAAACTTAATACACTCTCTATACTATGATGTAGGGTATAAACATATCCGAACGAAATTAGAACCGCTTAGCTTATTTAAGACTCATAATATAAAAATTGAAAATGGTGCGAGCTTATGAATGGGCTCTAGATATACCTCATCGAGTATTTTCAGAAAAAAAGTTTTCTGATTTAGGCATTTTTCAAATCTTCTGTAAAAATATCGGGCTTAAATAAAAAGTCTGCTGATAAAATTTCAGACAATTCGAAAAAAAATAAGATTTGAAATTCCTTTTGCCTGAAATATATTCTGAAAGCAGTCTCAAAGATCTTTCATTTGTGCCCGGTCTAATCGTTTTTAATTAATGTACGGTGGGCCCTTTGAACTCTAACATCCGAAAGGCAAAAAGACTTCAAATTTTGCTAAATAAATTTTAAATGCATCTTTACGAATGGTCCATCCGCTTAGTCCTATTTTGGCATACACC